TTTACGTTTCGACGTACCGTCGTACGAAGAAGACATTACTCCTACCTACTTAGTTTTAAGTTTAAAAACATTATTTTATTTACAAAATATATTTTGTTTACAAGGAAAGGAATCCACTGAGATAATGACCAGAAATTGACAAAAATGCATAATTAACGCATTATTAAAATTCCATGTAACGTAATATCGTTAGGCTTATAGTATCATAGACTTGAATCGTCTGTCATTAAACAATGAGTGATACTGGTGAGCCACCAGAATGCATATATATACGCCCCCCAGTGGCACAGCGGTATGTCTGCGGACTTACGACGCTAGAAACCGGGTTTCGATACCCGTGATGGGCAGAGCACAGATAGCCCATTGTGTAGCTTTGTGCTTAATTACAAACAAGTAAACAATACAATGTTTACTTACCCCTAGTGGCACAGCGGTATGTCTGCGGACTTACAACGATAGAATCCAGGTTTCGATACCCGTGGTGGGCAGAGCACAGATAGCCCATTGTGTAGCATATATATACATCGCACTAATTTTATATCCGTATTATCATACATTCATTCTTTAGGTCCTTAGTAGGCTTTCATATAAATTGTATTTTGCATATTTTAAATTACTTTTAAGGTAACCAACACATTTTTTTTATTTAACTTTTTTTCATTCACCTCTAAAAGTAATTCAACTGGTATTTCTTAAATATCTATGAAACATCATTGGTTAATATTTTATGTAATTTTTATGATCCTGACTTTCTACCATTAAATCAAGGATCGGTGTTTATGAACTTTTCTTAAATTACCGTGTGTTTTACGTGTTTCTTAATTATTCATTCGTACGCCAATTTTAGCAACAGGTATACATCATTTGTTTTATATTTTCCTACCAGGTGGCGATGTTGTACCAAGATTCTTCAATAGGAAATAACATCAGCGTGGTACTGGTGGGTCTTGTGCTACTCGAAGGGGATGAGGTTAGTACCATTATTATGAATCTTGAGGGTGTTATTAAATTGTAATCGTGAAATATATTTAAGTTTATTATACTCAAGGACCCATAAAATGAAAATTAATTGAATTATTTATCTGTCCTTGTTCCATATACATATATATATATTTAGACAGAGGCTGACTACGTTTTATTTGAACAACTTCAGTGCCTTATCAGGTCGTTAAAGTACATGTCGCCACGTTCGGTCAGGTTCTGACATGACAATCTTGCATCTTAACAATAGCCCTGCAGCGTAGTTTCCATTGCAAAAGGCCCTGTCATAAGGCCGTCATTCTAAAGCACATTCCTCCTCCTTCCAGGCTTTTCACAAATCATCTAGTTTACGAGAATAACGGTTTTCCAACGTGCGTTTCAATAGTTCGATCGCACAGAAATCCATAGACGGCTTTACCGGTATGTCTCCGTCCGGAATAACATGAATGCCGTTTTAGTCACTATCTGCTTCGATCATCCAACAGTTGAATAAATATGTCATGGAAGCAACGTGTGAACACATAACTTGTGTCGTTTTTACAGAGGAGGCTCTACTTTATTACGTTGCGTACTGTTGCCTGGGGCACGTGGACGGTTTTTATCACTGATTTTTGTGTTTGAGTTTTCACTTGTTACACGACGCCTCACTTTTCTTACTACGCATGAGGTATGACTTGTCATCTCATTCTGGATCCAATCTTCAGTAACATCACACTATCTATAAATCCCCCTCCCAAAAAAAAATTCAAAATGTAGTTCTGATACATTCCGTTCCATTCACATTTATATCGACCGTGGTTTTCATGTGAATTGCTGGCTTGTAAATTCAAATTTGTTTTAATATAACATACTCAACTGCCTATGTATATGCATGTATATAAGCAAACAACAACAAAAAGAAAAACAAGACCATGCTCTATTTAGAACGATAGATTTAATTCAGTATTGATAGATTCAATCTATTATTCTTATCACTATGTAATATGACATTAAACATTCTACCGTGCTTTAATAAACTCCGACAGACAGCATCATAGAGCATTTAACGCGAAACAAAAGGGAATCCTCAATAGCCATGACACTTGAAATTCTTTTAGACCGGATTAGAGTAAATTAATCTATGAGACCTTTTTTACCCTTTTTTTATTTTTATTTTTTTTTCACCAGCAATAACAAGAGTGGGGCGTGCGTATATTGGATTCGATTTTATTACTCATCAGGATCTCTACCAGCCTACCCTCAAATTGAAATTATTTTAGGCAGAATTAGAGTCAATTAATTTATGAGACCTTGGGCTGGTTAAATATATCAATCGAAAGGGTTTGACATACTGAGTCCCAAACTGATCTCAAGTCATTCAAGAGATGACGTAGCCATGAGCTAAAAGTTTGTACTTGAAAAAAAAACAAAAAAAACTCAGAGCCATTGTATGAGCCGCGGCTAAAAGATATATGAAAATTAACACTACATCTTTCTTTAGATAGATGAATATTTCAACTTTATCGACTAGTTTTCTACAGAGCTGGCAATGATACATACGTTTAAAGGAATATTTTCGAGATAATCATTTGGAAATTATTAAATGTTCTGTTATACATATTTATATATTTATAGTGATTTTCCATTTAAATAACACTTTTAAAATTGAAATATTGTTATCTTTTTTTTGAAAAGGACAAGAATTACAATTGTTTTATTATACAAATACATAACTTGAGAAGGTCTTTCCGAGAAAACATTCATTTCAAGATTTCTCTCTCTGGAACGTAAGAATTATATAGAGTTTTTATAATATAAACAATACGTGAAACACAGAATAAAATTGTTTTGTGGGAAGTAATTTGTTTTAAAACATTGCAACAGTGGCTTTTAACTTTGTAGAGCATATATAGAATATCGGGAATTCTTAGCCTTTTGTTGTTAGCTTAATAAAAATATTGACTTCGGTAGGACGTTGACACTGTGTTGATTAAACAAGCACAGCTTCAGTATAAACGCGTATCTTCTTGACTAGCGTGAAATATTTTTTTGGTGATTTTTTTTAAATTTTTGACTGAGCATGTTTTTGAAACCGATCCTTGGTTGAGTATCCTTCTGAAGTGTCAGTGTTTTTCACCCTGTCAATCAATGTCGTTCCGAACGAAGCTGTGATTTGTTAGCGCTTCTGTAGATATGTCAGACAAACATATTGAATGGCTTTTAATCAAAATAAATAAAGATATAAATGTTAGATCTCAACCGAAAGCCTTCACTTCTCACCCCCGCCCACCCTTTCCCGTGTTGCCATACATAAGTTAGGGGTGTATATTAAATTGAACGTAACTTAAGCAGTTTACATAAACAAGTGCGAAACAGAAAAAATATCTGTTACAATATTTATTCTAACGCACAAGGGCACAAGACCAGGAAACGTTACCCATCACACAGAAGTGTGACTCTTTTGTTGACAAATGTCATAAAAGAAAGTCAAATCTGGAACATGTAATGACATTTTAATGTCGTAAATTTTACTAAGTTGTTGTTTATTGTGCGTAAAAATATTTTTTTACCATTTAGGGCTCGATCGTAGGAGGAAATATGAACATTAGTATTTTTTGTTGTTGTTTTTTCAGTGCAAGATCAGTTGGGTTTTAAGTTTACTTTCGACTCCAAAGTGGATATTTCTAGGTAACCCGAAATAGCTTCTTAGAATTTTATTGATCCAGTGTAGTAACTGACACTTAAAATGACGAGTTTCCAAGGTTTCTGTTTACATTTTAAGAACTAAATATAACTGCGATGCCTTCTTTAATAACCATTTATAAAGCCCAAAATTTATCATCAGTGTTTTCAGAAGTCACTATAGCTACTCCTTATGAATTGAAATGAACAATAATATCTATCGTAGAATTCCATACATCTCTACAAGCTAACACCTTAGTTACACAATGGCCACTAAGACAAACAACAGTGTCTGCGAAGATTGAATAGTCACTGTGTACGAAATGGGATAAATTGTGAGGGTAAATAGATACTTTCTCTAATCACTGGCTTAGGACCTGGAATTGCTGAGGATATTCAGTTATGTACATGTCTTTCTGAGAAAATTAGATATCAATGTTTTGATGTTTTAATGTCATACAATAGGTACTGAAGCAACTCGTTAGGACATACACAGAGTTAATCTCAAGCATAATAATAGTTCTTTAAACAATCAAACATCTATGTTGCTGCATCACAGATTCTCTCTCTCCGGTTTTTCCTTTGATGTAAAAAGGAAATAAATCTGTACCACATATATATATGGTCCACTCTATAATATCGAACAAGATTATTTTAAATTGTTAATTTAAAAAGGGGGGAATAAGGATCTTCAAACAATTACAGAAATAAGATAGGTAGCTTAAAGTGAAAATGCAATCATAAAAACGTAAGCAAACAAGCTTAAGGTTTGAGACATAGTGTTGACATTACTTCATCAAGCTAGAAATCCCTGTTTTGACTCTCATGTTAACGCTATGTCTGAAACCTTAAGCTTGTTTGCCTGCTTTATTTGCGATTGCATTTTCACTTTAAGATACCTATCTTGTTTCTGTAATTTTTGGAAGATCCCTATTTCCCTGCCTCCCACTGGCACAGCGGTATTTCTGCTGACTTACAACGCTATGAACCGGGTTTTGATACCCGTGGTGGGCAGAGCAAAGACAGCCCTTTGTGTAGCTTTGTGCTTAACTACAAAATAAAACCCTATTCCCCTTTTTAAATTAACAGTTTTGAATAATCTTGATTCTTTAGTTTTTTTAAGTTCATCATGAACATAAATCTGTATAATACTAATACTTCCCTATTTGAAACAGTTTAGTTTAAAGAAATATGTAGTTGGTGTATGATGCTTTGTTTGAAGTTAAGCATAATGCTACACAAAGGGCTATCTGTGCTCTGCCCACCACGGGTATCGAAACCCGGTTTCTAGCGTTTAAAGTCCACAGACATCTTGCTGTGTCACTTTAGCCCCCCAGTGGCACAACGGCATGTCTGCGGACTTACAACACTAGAAACC